TCTGGACCGAAGGCCAAGGGCGGGGCAAAGAGGCGCCGCCGGGGGGAGTGGGGGCGGTCCAGCGCCGACTCAAGAGCATGGGGGCAAGTGAGAAGGAGAAGACCTTCGCAGACGGCTCGGAAGTCCCCCAGCCTTCTGAGAAGTGCTCGAAGCCTTCCCCGAAGGCACGGACAGCTCCTCGAAGGCCCCAGGGCTTCTGAGAGGTCCCGCCGCCTTCTGAGAGGGCCCTTTCCTTCTCGCTTCCCCCCCCTTGCTCGCCGCCGATGCCAGTGCTTCTTTTTGCGGCTCCCTGCACCCAGCATCGGAGAAGGGCCAGCCGAGACAACGGCGGCCCTCCCGCCCCGCCCGACAGGGACAAGGACACCCCCGCGCGCTGGCACCAGCTAGTGTGCTGCGGGTGTGGCGCCGGAGCGCCGCTCAACGCTGCGATCGGCACAACGCGGGAAAAAACATGTGGGAGGAGGAGGGGGAGGAGGAGGAGGAGGAGGAGGAGGAGGAGGAGGAGGAGGAGGAGGAGGAGGAGGAGGAGAAGGAGGAGGACATCGGTCCCCGAATCCGCTCAAGATCGGTCCTCAGATCCCTCTGGGGTCCCTCCTGACCAGCGTTTCGAGGCGGATCCCGCCGTGGAGACTAAGAGGCCTGCAGGAGCCACCCCCTCAGAAAAATATCAAGAAAGGGACGGCAGGGAGGGCCGCCGTTGTCACGACTGGCCTCGGGCCTCAGGCGACCGTGCGGGACGATTCCGGCACCCTCGAAACGCCCGTGACGAAGGGCAGCTGATGGGAAAACAGCTCGGGCCTCGTGCGACCGCTCGGGACGAGCCCCTCCCCCCGAAACCCCCGTGGCCTGGCGCAGCGGATGGGCAACATCCCAGGCCCAAAGACACGCCGAAAACCTTTCGTGGAAGCATGTGTGTGAAGGGACCCAAGGACACACAAATAAATACACACAAATAACAAGCTTCCCCAGATGTTCCCATATGTTTTTGGTTTTTGTCTTCCCCCCCACTTCCCATATTTTCCCATATGTTCCTGGGGATCGGCGATTAATTGTGTCTGTGTTTTTTCCCCTCCTGAAGCATGTGTGAGCCTTTCTGGAAACCTTCGCAGACCCTGCCCCCAAGCCGCCGCCGGCGCCGCTCGTCGATCGTCGGCGTGACCTCCTCCGAAGAGATCGGGTACACTTAGGTCGGACCTGTCCCCCTACAGGGGGATTTTCGACGAAAAATAGAAAATATTCAAAAAATATGCACAAATGGTCCCCCAAAAAATACTCCAAAAATAGTCCCCAGACTATTTTTTTGACTATTTTTGAGTTTCCCTCCTGTAGAGGGACGGGCCCGACTCAAGGCTACACGCAAGAGCGACCCTGGGTAAGGTTGACCTTTGGTGCGCGCGGCTTTTTGGGGCCCGCGGGGGGGGACCAGCCACAAGCGCGCGAGACGCTGCTATTGCATCGCGTTCGGCGATCGAGGGGCCCCATGGGGCCCGCACCAAAGGTCGCTCTGGCAAAGGGTCGCTCTCGCGTTAGAGGCCTCCTAGTAGATGGGGTCCGAGCAGATGTGGTCGGAGGATCGCGCCGCATCGACAATGCACCGCCGATGTATCGGCGATGCACTGGCAACGTTGGCGATACACCGGATCGAGCCGCATCGCCGATGCATCGGAGGTGCGGCGTTATCCTCCGACCCCATCTACTCGGACCCCGTCTGTAAGGCCTAGATACGTGTAGCCTTAGGTCGGGCGTGTCCCCCTACAGGCGGATTTTGGACGGAAAAGGAAGGAAAAAATGCAAAAAGATCGTCACCGAATTATGTTTTGACTACTTTGGGAGTATTCCTCCTGTGGAGGGACATGCCCGGCCTAACTGCAGTCGAAGAGAACACATGCCTTTTCTGCCTGCCCGCGGGCGCTATGCGGCCAGGCAGTTGAAGGCGACCGAGACGCGCGGGCCAAGGCTTTCGCCCCCAAGGGTGGCGGGGCCGTCGAGGGCGCCGGCCAGGCACAGCCGGGGCAGGGGCCGTGCTCCCTGCTCTTCTCCTTTCCTGCCTGCTCCTCCTCCTCCTCCTCCTCCTCCTCCTCCTCCTCCTCCTCCTCCTCTCCTGCCTCCTCCTCCTCCTCCTCCTCCTCCTCCCTCCTCCTCTCCTCCTTCCTCCTCCTCCTCCTCCTCCTCCTCCTGCTCCTGCTCCTCCTCCTCCTCTTCCTCTTCCTCCTCCTCCTCCTCCCCATCCTCTTCCTCCTCCTCCTGGCCCTCCTCCCTCCTCTCTTCTCCCACCTCCTCATACTCAATCCTCAATCCACCAGAGAGGGGCCTAGCGCCGATCCAAAGAATCTGCGCGACTGTTCGCAAGTTTACGTATGCGTATGCAGCTGTTCCTTCTTCGACTTAAGAAGGGTGTCGAAACCAATATGCGAGAGCATTCCTCGGTCGGGGATCGACGACGCCTCGGAAGACGCCAACGCGATATGGTGCATAAGTCGTCCGAGGACGACGGGTCTCTCGGGAGGGTACGACAGGGTCATGTGACGATCACGTCGGCGTCGGCTTCTGGCACCGCGTGGATCCCTTGGCCGTGAACGATCGCAGCACTCGGCTACAAGCAAGAGCGACCCTAGGCAAGAGTGACCTTCGGTGCGCGGCCTTGCGGGGGCGCGAGGGAGCCAAACCCAAGAGCGCAGGCCGCTGCTATTGCATCGCACTCAGCGACCAGGGGGCCCCGGTCCCCAGTGGGCCCGCACCAAGGGGCCACTCCAGCGAAAGGTCTCCAGCGGCGCAAACCTTTCAATGTCGGCCGATTCCGGGCCACGGGCGTTCAGCCCTGAGCGCTCGCGCTGGGGCTCGCCGCGTCAACGCGGCGACATCCCGTCGTGAGGAGCACGGCTCCCCCCGTCGTGCCTGCCCCGGGCAGGGCGTCACGAAGTGAGGCACGAAGCTCGCCGGGTGTTGCCAGGGGTGGCCCTGGCCCAAGCTGACTACCTACCAGACCACCCCAACCCAACCCGAAAACACAAATTTCGGAGGGGGGGGGTGCGGGTTCCACACGTGTTGACTCACTGTTCCCCGACGCCCCCCCCCCCACCTGGGAAAGGAAGGCAAATTGGGGCCCCATCGGTGGGCCCCATCGGGGGGGCGGAAAGCCAGAGCTACGAGGCGGGGAGTTGTCTATCACCACCACCTGGGGGATCGACCTGCGGGAGCCTTGGCAGGCGGTGGATGTAGATTTGGCCCCCTGGGGCCCGAATTTATCCACATCCACCGACTGCCGAGGTCCCAGAAAGTCCGTCCCCCTGCCAGGCGGCAGGGTGCTGGCATCGGAGGAGGGCCAGTCGATACAACGGCGGCTGTCCCACCCGACCCGAGTCTGCACAAAATCTGTCCCTGGGCTCTTGCCAAGGTCCATCATGACCCGCTTCTCGAGGCGTGTCCAGCCTTGGCGACGAGAAGCCTCCAGGAGGTCCAGAGAGGACGAACAGCGCCAGGGAGCGCTGCCGCTGTCTCGGCCTGGTCCTGCTGCGTGGTGATGCAACATACGGTCGGGAACTCTTGCCGAGCGAGTCGCGGCGGCGGCCCCAGCAACACGCTATGCCCTGCGAGCGGATAGCGTGTCATTCCGCTCCGCAGGTCGGGAGGCTCGGAAATGCTCGGGAAGCTGAAGCCTGGGGGCTGGGAAGTGGATAGCGTGTCGCGCCGCAGCGAGGTGGGCCAAAACCGGCGGAGGGACACGCTATCCAAAATCTCGCAACCGTGAAAGGTACCGATGCCGCTACACCCCAGACATCTCCCGGGGTGCGTTGTGAGCAGAATTTCGAGGCGCACTCAGCGGTGGCGACAGGGGCCTCCTGGGAGCCCCAAGAAGGCGATGGGGCAGTGGCACCGGTACCTTTTCCTCCTCAGAATAAAAGCCCCCCGCCTCGGAAGTGAGGGGCAACGATATGAGGGAACTGGCATAGGGGGGGAAAACATCAACCTGGAGTCGGTGATTGATCTCCGATAGATCGGCGATAGGCCACCCGTACTGAATCCGCCCGTTCCTGGGAGGCGATGGGCTATCGGGCCCCTATCGGCGATGAATGGACGATTGGGGGTCAATGCATACCCACCTATGCCCATCCCCCCTTCCACTGTCCCTGAGGAAGAGCCACCTTTCATTTCGACGTGGGCTGACGTCTAGCCCCAACTCCCTCAAAAGGATGCCGAACGAACGAAGACAGGACCCGAAGAGAACCGTACACGCGGGACGAGGGACGGAGACCCAGGACTCGAGAAAAGGATCGACTGCAGAATTGATTTACCCCAAATTTGGCTTCTCCGTCGAATCTGCGGAAAACACGTCGAGTGCTCCGTAGATCTATTGAGCGCTCTGTGTATGTTGCGTGGGTTCGACAGAGAACTCAGTTCTGCGGCGATTCAACTCTGTCTAGGCGGAGTGAACCCCATCCGCCCTCTCAGGAATCGTGGGGGGTAGGGGCAGGGTTCGCATGTGACCACCTATCTGTAGTCGATCCTCTACTCGGCGGACCAAGAACGAGGCCAGGGTGCACGGTTTCCCCCAGGGCCGTAGGCGACCCGAGGAGGAGGAGGAGGAGGAGGAGGAGGAGGAGAAGGAGGCAGAGGAGAAGGAGGAGGAGGAGGTGGAGAGGGAGGAGGAGGAGGAGGAGGAGGAGGCGGAGGAGGAGGAGGAGGAGGAGGAGTTAGAGGAGGAGGAGGAGGAGGAGGAGGAGGAGGAGGAGGAGAGGAGGAGGAGGAGGAGGAGGAGGATGAGCAGGAGGAGGAGGAGGGGGGGAGGTGGGGCGGGGGGGAGGAGGGAGGAGGAGAAGAAGGCGGAGGAGATGGAGGAGGAGGAGGAGGAGGAGGAGGAGGAGGACGGGTCGCCCAAGCCCTTCGGAGAAACCCTCCAGGCCAGGAAGAGCCACCCCCACCAGCACCCGAGCTCGGGAACACCACCAGCGTCCCCGGCACGGGGTCCACAGCCAGCAGCCCCAGGGGGCCCCCGCCCGGCCCGGCGCCGCCGCCGCCCTCGCTGGCGCCCTCGCCGGCAGGCTCCGGCCCCCCCGGCGGCCGAGGCGGCGGCGCGCAGGGGCGGTGGGCGGGGGCCAGCCGTTCCTCATCCTCCTCTTCTTCTTCTTCTTCTTCTTCTTCTTTTTCTTCTTCTTCTT